TTCCAACAAGTAGTATTATGGTGTATGCTGCAGGGATCTCATGTTTTCCTTAAGTCTTTAATAACATTACCTGCCAAATAATGTTTCTTTTCTGGATTATTTGTTTATATGTTAAATAACTCAGGTTAAATCACTGATTGTCCACTTAATGAACTGAAACTTTTAAAATACTTACATTTATCTATTTATTTTCTGTGCATATGTATACTGAGGTGTATGCGTGCACCACATGCATTCAGGTGCCTGGATGCCAGAATATCAGATTCTTTTTGAAACTGGAGTTATAAGAGATTGTCAGCAACCCAATGTGATGGGTAGAACCCAGACCTGGGTTCTCTGTAAGAGCAGCAGCTACTCTGACAATCAAATCATCTTTCCAGTCATAACAACTTTTTAATGATACATTCTTACCTTCATCAGTCCTAGAAAACCAAAAGTACATAGCCACAATTCTGCCCCATCTTGGCCCCACAAGTTATCATTATGAGTTTCTGTTGTTCATACATAATGCATAAAACCTGGTTTTTATAAAATGTTTATGACTATAATTTTGTATTGCCATGGTACAGAATCTCAAGAAACAATTCTTCTGTTATTGCAAAGAAAGCCAACATTTCATGAATCTACAGAAAACCGTATGGATGAAGATTTTCAGTTAAAAGAAAACATTTTTCTCCTATTGAGGCACTCTTAATTAACATGCATGTCTGTCTACTTCCATTTTGCTGTCAATAACACCCATTTGCCAGGCACCAGAGCAATTCAGCCAAGTCTGTTGAGGTGATGGATTCTACAAAGTATGTAAGCCTGTCACTAAAGGAAGGACAGATTTTAGTGTCTTTGCAGGACATGGCAATGTTGTAATCTCAACATGGACTGGTTTTCTCTCCAAATGAATGTTATATGCCAGTGGCCAATCTACTACAAAGTTCTATCTCTTTCAAGGTAATATAAAGTCCTTTGGTAAAGGACACAAATACTACACAAAATTAACTGTTTAGCAATTTATATCTAATTGAATCCTTTATCTAACATTTTAAATAGCATTCTTTTCTCCTTTTACCTAACTTATTTAAATAGCTGTTGCTACTTCATTATAATTTGTCACTTGCATTTGAAAGTATCATCTGTGTTGGAGATTATACCTAGAGTACATCCATTAATGAGGATGAACTGAAAGAGAATGTCTGAAAGAATAGAGTCAAAAGAATAGAGAACTTGGGACTGAAACGGTAGCTCAGAGATTAAGAGCTCATACTACCCTTGCATAGAACCCAAGTCAGGCACCCACCCACCATATTAGGTGGCTCACAACCATCTGTAACTGAAGCTCCAGAAGGTTCAAAACCATCTTCTGGCCTCTGTGGGTACCTATACACTCATAAATATTTATACACACACACACTATTAAAAATAAAAGTAAATCCTCCAAAAAATAGAGGACTGTCAACACATCACAAGACTATCAACAGCAGAAATGAGTTCACTATACTCTTACAGAGCTGACCACATTGTATATGTACTTTCATTTAGTCATCATGAGAATCTTGGAGAAGATATTATTATGGGTTGAATTTTCATCCTGTCCAAAATTCATGATAAAATTGAATTGTGATTGTGATAGCATTAAGAGATGAGACTTTTAAAGTGTATGTTTGGAGGGAACTCCTCCCCAGAGGTGAGACTGTTGTTATCTTAGAGATACTTGACTCTCTTCTCAGTTCTCTGAATCCCTCACCTTTTCTTTCTTTCTTCTCTCTGCTTTTTAAGTGACAAAGCATAAAGACCTTTATCAATTTTACCTGGAAACCCAGAGGTCACACCCAGTAGGCTGGTTACCAAGTGGGTGATCTTCATTTTCTTGCCTATCCTCCATTACAATTTTTTAGTTTTATTCCCAGCACTGAAGCAGATGGTTGCAGGAGATTATCTACTCATTCTGCTGAAGCTTGGAGTGGATGCATGTTTCCTCCTTCCTATGAATTCTCAGACCACACCTTCTAGCCCATCCCTATTCCTCTCTGCCATGCCCTGCTATCTGGAAACACTTTCTACTCAGTGAGCACACCTGTCAGGGACTCAGAAGCACGCCTACATGGCAAAACACTGCCACCACACTTTCCAAAGATTCAGAAAGGGCAAAAGAACCCAAGGAATGGAATACCCACTCCAAAAAAGTAAATGCCAGATAGCAACATGTGGAATCACAATCATCCTAACACCAGATGCCTAGACACCAGACAGAAGACACAGTAATAGCCACGACCATATGCCTCCCTCAGAACCCAGTAAATGTACCACTATAGTTCCTGAGATGTGCAATATAGCTGAAGTACAAGACAGGGATTTCAAAGCAGCTATTATAAATATATTCAAGGACCTTATGAAGAATATGAATAAGTAACTTAAAATCTGTGAAAATACAAACAGTGCAATGAAATAATGAAAACAGTTCAAGACATGAAAGTAGAAATAGCATCGCTAAAGAAAACTCAGGCTGAGACAAAACTGGAAAAGAAAAATTTACATAATCAAACCAAAAACCTCAGAGGTGATTCTTATAAACAGAGTATAAAACATGGAGGAGAGAATTCCAAGCACTGAAAACAAGGTAAAAAAAAATAGATACCTCAGTCAGGAAAATGTTAAAACAACAACAACAACAAAATCTAGACATAAAACATTCAGGAAATCTGGGAAGCTATGAAAAGACCAAATCTATGAGTAATAGGAATCGAAGGAAAAGAAAGCCAGATCAAAGGCACAAAAAATATCTTCAACAAAAAATATTTTTCATAGATGAAAATTTACATAACTTAAAGGAGGCATAAAGAACACCAAATAGACAGGACTAGAAAAGAAATTTCCCATGACACGTAATAATCAAAACACTAAATGTAACAAGATGGGATAGCCTTTAATCTCAGCACTCAGAGGTAGAGGCAGACAGGTCTCTAAGTTTGAGGCTATCTTGTTCTACAGAACAAGTTCCAGGACATCCAGGTCAAAATAAAACCATATCTCAGAAAAAAAAATAAAAATAAAAACAAAGTAAAATAAAAATATATAAACATACAGAATAAAAAATTAAAACTGCAAGGGAAAAAGAACAAGTGCATATTATAATAACACCAGCATTCTCAACAGAGACGCTAAAATACATAAGGCTGTTTACAGATACTCTACAATCTTTAAGAGACCACAGATTTCATCCCAGGTTACTGTATTCAGCAAAACCATAAATCACAATAGACTGAAAAAGAAAAACATTCCACAATTAAGCCAAATTCAAGCAGGATCTATCTACAAATCAAGCTCTACAGAAGATGCTATAGGAAAAGTTCAATATGAAGTGTTTAACCACATTCAAGAAAACAAAATGAATAAATAATCCCATACCAGCACACCAAAAGAGGGGTGGAAAACCCACACTATAACATCAAAATAAGAGGAATCAATAAACACTTTTTCATTGTTAAGTCTCAGCATTAATGATCTCAATACTCCAAGTAGATACAGACTAACTGTTTGGATTTAAAAAAAAGATCATTTTTTTCTGATGCATTCAAGAAACACACCTTACTATCAAGGATACCCATAGCCTAAACATGAAAGGATAGAACAAGATGTTCCAAGCAAATGGATCTAAGAAGCAAGCACATATACCCATTTTACTATCTGAAAAAATAGACCACAAACGGAGACTAGCCAAAACAAAGAGAGGAATGCTATAAAGAAAAGAATACTACAGTTCTAAGTATTTATATGCCAAATACAAGGGCACTCGAATTCATAGAAAAACACTACGACAGCTAAAAAGCAGTGTTGATCCTCACACAGTAATAATGGCAGACCTCATTACTCCACTGTCACTAATAGACAGGTCATCAAGACAAAAATTAAACAAGAAACACTGGAGTTAAATAGTGTAAAATACAAAATGGACTTAGTAGATATGTATAGATCATTTCATCCAAACACAAAAGGACACATCTTCTCATCAGCTTATGGAACTTTCTCCAAATTTGACTACATATTTGGACACAAAGGAAGTCTCAACAGATACAAGAAAACTCAGATAGCACCCTGCATCCTACCTAAGTACCATGAATTAAAACAGGATATCAACAGCAACACATTTACAAACTCATGGACACTAAAAATCTCACTACTGAATTTTTAAAAATGGTTAAAAGAGAAATTAATGTGAAATTAAAATGTATTTACTTGCTTGACTTGTCATGGTTTATTCATCTTGGTACAGATGAATAAACAGAATTCATATATTTTTCAAGAAGAAAAAATTTAAACTCTTTAGAATTTCCAGAAGGAGGTGGTGTATCCCAGCATGTGGGAGACAGAGGCGGGAAGCCAATACAAGGCCAGCCCGGTCTACATAGTGAGTTCAAGGACAACCAAGGCCACACAGAGAAGCCATGTCTCAGAAACAAACAAACAAGAACAAGAATAAAAAAAAAAAAAAAAAAAAAAAAAAACTTTTTAGAATTGAATGAAAATGAAAACACAACACACTCAAACTTATGAGGCACAAAAAAATGGTTCTAGGAGGCAAGTTCAAGTTTTATGTAGTACTAAAGGCCTACATTTAAAAAAAAAAATCTTATGTAATCAACCTAACAGCACACCTGAAAGCTCTAGGACTAAAGGAATAAATAACACACAAAAATAGTAGAAGACAAGAAATAGTCAAACTCAAGACTGAAATCAATAAAATCAAAACAAAAATATTAAAAAGAATCAATGAAGCAAGGGTTGGTTCTCAGAGAAAAATCAATAAAATTTATAAACCATCAGCTAAATCAACTAAAAGGCATGGGGAAAAGATTCAAATTAATAACATTAGAGATGAAAAGGCAGACACCATAGACACACTAAGAAAATGCAGAGAATTAGTCATAAGGACATACTATATACACACACACACACGTGTGTGTGTGTGTGTGTGTGTGTGTGTGTGTGTGTGTGTGTGTGTATTCCACCCTACCCCTAGAGGTGTTGCACATGCGGCTGCTGTGTCTCCTGGGCATCAGTAGGTGGCAGAGAGGAGAGAGGCTACGTCTACACTCAGTGTTCTGACTGTGAATATCTGAATGAGTAGTAACCTAAGATACCCTGAAAAAAAGTGAGCCTGAGAAGACCACCAGTCTGGCACCAGGCAGGCCCAGTAGGGCTCCCTGGATGGGGAGCAAGCTGGAGACTAGAAGAAGCCTTCCTGGGACCCTGGGCAGGAGTGAGCTGGAGACAGACAACCCTAGCAAGGGGCGACTGGAGCATGGCAAGGAGAGAGCCCTAGACAACCACCAGACTGGTGCCATGGAGCCAACCCAGACATGAAGCAAGCCTGAGATGACCACCCTGGGGGGGGGGGGGGGGGGCTGGGGGGAGGACAGACTATACCCATGCCCAGCCCCGTAATGCAAGAGTGGGACATAGAACTTCGACAACACTCCTGAGACAACACTCACAGACCCTGGGTGCCACCAAAAAGAGCAGGTAAGTGGTAGAGAAATGGAAGGGAAAGAGAAACAGAAGGATGAAGGCACAATGAAGAGAGGCAGAACTGGAGACTTGAAGGTAGGGAGGAACAGCTTGATGTGAGTAGCCAATGATGCTACCTGGGACCATGGCGGGATTCTGGCCAGTGATGTCACCAGGATCTGTGACCCTGAAGCAGCAGAGGTCTGTTACCACCAAAAACCAGGTGGACGTCCCTTGTTTGGGCTTCTAGCCAGGGACATGTAAATGTTTGAGGGATGTGCAGAACTGGTCCTACCTCTCACCTCATTGGAGAGCTGATCCCACCCCTAGCCAACTGCAGTACTCAGGAGAGCAGGCTCTGAACATTGTGGGAGTTGCGGGTGAGCTGCTCCAAGGATATGAACATAGAAGAGCTAGCCCTACCCCTTAAAGATACCCTGCTACTCCTTTGCCATTTACCACCTGCAGCAGGCAAGGCCCTGATGGTGGGAGCAGGAGTGCTAGCCCTGCTCCTTGTCTGGAGAGCTGGCATGAAACAGGAGAGCTGATCCTACCCCTAGCCAGCCGCATTACAGCTACAGGCCCTGCACTTTGTCTGGACAACAGAGTAGAACAAAACCTGGTGGTGAGAGCATAGACAAGCTGGCCCCAAGGGCATGCGTATGGGAGAGCTGGCACAGCCACCTGTCTGCTGTGTGGTGGTATAGGCAAGAAAAAGATGCCACACTCTCTGGCCCCTTGCCACATATGGCAAGCAGAAGCCATATGGCCTCGAAGTCATCAGAGAGGGAGAACTGGCCCTGCCCCTCACCTGGGCAGCACAGTAGATCTGGCCACTGATGTGGGGGCTGCCGGTAAGCTGGCCCCAAAGACCTAAGTGTGGGAGAGCCAGCCCTGCCTCTTGTCTGTTGTGTGGTGTCATCGGCCAGGGAAAGATCTTCTCACCTCCTTTTTGCCTTCACCACTGGCAGGTGAGGTAGCCTCCTACAAGGTCATGGGAGCAAGAGAGCTGTACCTGCCCCTCACCTGCTGTAGCACAGTAGGACTGGTCTTGGATACGGGGGGGATACAGATGAGCCTGCCAGAAGGTGAGTGCAGGAGAGCCAGCCCTGCCTATTGTCTGCTGGGCAGTGGTGTAGACAAGGGACACATGCTGTCCTCCCCTCCTTCATGCCTCACCATCTCTAGCAGGCAGCAGAGCTGGCCCAGGGTCACAAGAGCCAGTAGAACTAGCCGTGTCCCTCATCAGCTGCAAAAAAATACTCAGGAGAGTGGCCCTGCTCCTCACCTGAGCAACAGGACAGAGCTAGCCCTGGTTGAGGAGGTTGCTGGTGATCTGACCTGGAGAGCATGTGAGCAGGAGGGCTGACGAGCTCAGACACTTCTCAGGCCCAAGTCCAGGGCTTTGAATTGGCCCACACCAACATCAACACATGGATGAACTGCAGGAGTGCTTGAAGGGACGGGTCCTACAGATCCAACACTAGAGGATCTCCATGACATAGAGCACAACAGGATGTCCTAGAGGAGTCCCAGTGAAAGTTCAATACTGATAGACAATAGAAACCAGAGACCTCGTAGCAGACCAGTGAGTCACGGTAATGAACATTTGCAAGGAAGTGTGGACACAGGCTATACTGTGGGGCACGCTGTGACATATTACAGCTTCCACAATGAGCTTTTTTTTTTGGGGGGGGAGAGATTGCAATGGTGGAGGGCAGGTACAAGGGGAGGAGGAGATGAGTGGGATTGGGGTGTATAAAGTGAAATTCACAAATTCTTTGTGATTTATATTTATATCTATTTATATATTCATAAACATTTATATATAAATATATTTTATATCTTTATATTCATACATAATATATGGGAACTTTATTTATATATTCTCTATGAATATATATGTTATATATATAATTACATATATATCTATCTACATATATATTCCACCAAACTGGAAAACCTAAAAGTGGGTAAATTTCTTGGTATATAACCTGCCAATTATAAATCAAAATCAGATAAGCAATTTAAACAGACCTATAACTCCTAACGAAGTAAAAAGCAGTTATTAAAAGTTTCCCAGTCTGAACCAGTCCACAGAAGACAATGCAGACAGTCCTGATGAGAACTGATAGGCTAGGGTCAGATGGAAGGGAAGGAGGACCTCCCCTATCAGTGTACTGATGGAGGCGTATGGGAGGAAAAGAAGGTGGAAAGATGGGATTGGGAAGGAATGGCAAAGAGGGCTCCAGCTTGGACACAAAGTGAATAAATTGTAATAAACAAAAAAATAAATAAAATTCATCTTAAAAATAATTTCCCAGTAAAAAAAAAAATCCCAGGAACAAACAAATTTAACACAAACACCTACCAGACCTTCAAAGAAGAATTAATGCCAATGTTCCTCAAATTATTCCATAAAATGGAAGCAGAAGAAACAATGTCTAGGTTTTCTTAGGAGGCTACAATTACCCTGATACCTAAACTACACAGAGACTCAGCAAAGAAAGAAAATTACAAACCCGTTTCTCTTATGAACATACATTCAAAAATTCTCAATAAAATACTTGCAAAGTGAATCCAAGAAAAAATCACTAAGATCATTCATCATGATCCAGTAGGCTTCATCTCAGAGACTAAGGGATGATTCAACATACATAAATCAATAGATGTAATTCACCACATAAACAGGCTTAAAGATAACAACCACTTGATCATCTCATTATATGGACAAAACGCCTGCGACAAAGATTCAACATCTCTTCATGATAAAAATCCTGACGAAATAGGAATACAAGAAACATATCTCAACATATTAATACCAATTTACAACAAACTCCACAGCCAAATTCAACCCAAACAGAGAAAAACTTAAAAGCATTTCCATGATAAGCAGGCCTAAAAGCAAGGCTGTCCACTCTTTCCATACCTAAAATTTATTAGTGCTTATAGTCTTAGCTAGAGCAATAAGACAACTGAAGGAGATCAAGGAGATACAAATAAAAAGAGAAGTCAAAAGTTCTTTGTAGCTGATGTGATTATATTCATAATAACCCTAGAAGCCCAACAGGAAACATTTACAGTTGATAAGTACTTTTACCACACTAGCAGGATAATGAAAATGAGGTACATTTGAGCACAGAATATTACACAGGTGTTTAAAATTCACAGGTAAATGAATGGAGCTATAACAAATCATCCTGCGTGAGGTAACCTTGACCCAAAAAGAAAAATCTGGTATCATTCATTTATATGTGTGTGCATGCATGCTAGTGTTTAAGCTTTCAATAAGCATGCCACAATCCATATAACCACAGAGCCTATGTGCAGATTAAGAGAATGGGTATGAGGAGGATTTCCCAAGGAAGGGAAAATAGTTATGGAGAGACAAGCGAGGGTGAAATGATTAAATGAAGAAGGGGAAGAAATATGGGAGTAAGGAGGGAGTGCATGGAAGGACAAGTAACGCTAAGGGCCTTTTGAGGGCCATATGAAAACTACTACAGCAGAAACTTCTTAAAATATGTGCATATGTGAAAGAAATCTAAATGAAATTACTGAATAACAGGAGAAGCACAGAGCCAACTAGTCCTTTCTCACCACCAAGTGAAGCTTCCAGTGCCAGGAATGGATTACATCTACTCAAGTTGCTGGCCAAGGGGGGCCCAATGGAAACCCCAAACAACTCAGGTTATGGCTGCTCTTCACAAACTGATGGCAAGGGCCTGTTGATGAAGATAACATGTACATAACTCACAGAACATGAAGCAGTAGAGTCAGGGAGTAAACAGAACCTCCCTCCCCTTGACCAGTGCTCATGGTACTGGAAGGTACTCTGTACAACAGCAGAGGAGAAAGCCAAACACCAACAGAGCCACAAACTCTTTGATCTACAATGGCGACATACCTGCATGAGACACTGGTACAATAGTGGCCTAAAAGGGGGAAAAGTAACCAACCACTATCTGATTGGAACTAGGCCCATTCCATGCGAAGGAACCCATGTCTGACACTGCTCAAGTAGCCAACAACCTACAACTATATAGGAGTGGACCTAGCATTCTAGCATACTATTGTTCTGCTAAATGGTCATAGCAATAAAATAACTCCTAAGGACATTCTGCTATACCCATAGATCAGTATCTCACTCTGCCATCATCAGAGAAGCCAGTGCAGGGTCCCACAAATACACAATGTGCAGAGAGTGAGAGATTCTGGAACACTAATCCAATAGAATATCTTCATAAAACCCTTCCCATGAGAAAAGCTGTAAGGAAAGCCCCAAGAAAACATCTTACAGCTGTAATAGGACTGAAACAGCGTATGACATCACAGAAACTACAGCAGCATACACAGGGCTTGCACAGCTTCCAAACAAATGGGGTCCCAAGAATTAGGAGGGGAACTAGACATAAGCCCCCAATCCTAACATGGAAGCTCTCTCCAACTGACAACTTCTCCTAAAGGAAAGATGGGTTTTCTCCATGTAGTCTAAAGGTTTACAACCAGGGGTAAGGCCAGACCCATGCCCAGCAGTAACAGGCCAACGCAAAGTAAACTTGATGGCACTTTTGGAGATGTTTTGTCCAATAATGCTTTGATTGGGCATTTTTCCACCTTAAAGGTTTTGTT